TTTGCACAAAAAAATGGCCTCTCCCTATATATTTCGGATAAATTTCTTATACCAAAACTTAACTAATTGATGTTGGTCGATCACCTTTGAATTGTCTCGTTCCACAAGATGGTATATACGTGTACTAGTGGAAATGATCTCATTTTGAGTATGCACTACTCATTCAGCAAAGGGCTGACCTTTTTTATCAAATAGAAAAATGCTAAAAATTGGAAATGTTGGATTCACTTTAAAAATATCTTCTTAGTTATAAACTTATAATGTACACATACTAAAGCAGAGAAAATGACCTGAATAACTACACATTTTTAGTTTACAAACATTCACTACTGTAAAGCAAATAAAATGATTGAGTGCATGGTAATGGAAGTAGTTGTATACAAATAGTATTGCGCTGATTCCAAATATGGCGCCCCTTAATCATTCTTAAAGTCAGCATTATATATGTGGACTGCATGCGCAATTAAATGGTTCCTTCTACGGCTTTTCCATACTCCGTACAGGTAATTAAAGATGTCATTAAGTAAGAGCACTGTAGTTATTTATTTGTTCGAAAATGGTTAGACGTCCCTAGCCCAATCACCCCCTAAGTCAATAGTATAACTGCTGTTTATTTATAAAGTTAATGCAAAATATTAATTATGCTTTTAACCTTTAAGTTTGAATAGTCATTGATTTCGATCATTGAGACAAGATTTTGTCACACATTCCGAGTTCAATTGAATTTTATATCCATCGTCCCAACAGCGCTAAATCGCTAGTCAAGCGTAAGATTACAAGTAACATTTTTTAAAATTAGGAACTACACTATGTAGTATAAATTATTACTATATGGATTATATATTGTTTTCAATCCTGTCTTTGGCGTTAAGCAAACTTATATTAATCTAATTATATGACATTACTTGACCACTACAACATACTCATATTGTTAGTCTTCAGTCGTACAGTTTAACCTTAGTATTAAAAAGCTTAGAGCATCTCCAAAAAGACTCTCTATTATAGAGTTTGCAAAACTCTATATTTGAAGTTTGAAGGTGTTATACTCCAAAAGTAAAACTTCAAACCTAACTTTAAAACTATTTGTATTTTATATAATGGTCCTTATATTTGTCATAACTAATTCAAACTCATAAACTTTTATAAATAACTATCATGTATAAAAATATTATAGAAATATCATTTGATAAAATGTTACACTAAAATATAAAACTATAAATAGAAATATATAATTAAATATTAAAGTACAAACAAAATACCACATTATATCATGTAGTATTGTTGATGTCTACTTCTAGTTTTAAAATATTTTAAAGATTATCTTGATGCTTTTTTTTAATAGAAAATTTAAATTTATAAAAATAATTTTGAATTATTTATGAAATAATAATTTTAAGGATTAAAATGATAAATAATAAATATTTAAGATTATTATAAATATGATGTGTAATTGTAAGGACCAAAATGTAAATAAAATATGAAACTTCAAATTTGAAGTTTTGAATAGTGACACTCTATATTTGAAGTTTCACTACTNATTATTATAAATATGATGTGTAATTGTAAGGACCAAAATGTAAATAAAATATGAAACTTCAAATTTGAAGTTTTGAATAGTGACACTCTATATTTGAAGTTTCACTACTCAAAACTTCAAATTTGAAGTTTTAGAGTTCCTTTTTGGAGAGACAAAAACTTCATATTTGAAGTTATAGAGTGTCTTTTGGAGATGCTCTTATATCAACATAATCAAACAACTATTGATTAGTCTATTAATTAAACGACACGTAAAGGAGTTTCACATTGGAATATGAAACACTATACTAACGAAATAGTATAATACTCGCTCCATTTTTTAATACATGACTTTTCAAAGTAAATTTCGTTTTTTCAAATTATATGATGTCTCAACGTTTATGTAAATTTTATTAATAATTAATGCTAAATGACTAATAATATTATACATTCTATTTTATCAATGATTGAATTGTGGTTAATAGTAATACTTAATGATAATTTGATGTAAGAATTTTTTCTTTTTAATTTATGTGAACAATCCTAAAACACCTTGTATCGAAATACTGCGAGAATATTTTTAAAACCAATTACCAATATAAATCATGTCTAAATTATTTTGGTGGATAAAAAATTTGCAAGTTGTAGTTAACAAAGCAACAAATGTCATTTGTTAGTTAATGATTTAGCAGACACTGTGATCTCTTGTGATCACTTTTGAAAAAGCAAAGCATAATCATTTAGAAGGATTGTGATGTATGAGGACACATATACTACTCAATGAACTATCTACAGCAAACATTGTCTTACTTTACGAAACGTTGGAATTCAACTTGTGCATAAACAAATCATAATCTATTGACTTTTAATTTGGTTGGATGGTTTGATTGATTGAAAGAGTTAGAAATGGGTCAAACCATAATTATCGGTTAGGCCGATTTTAGGCTTTGAAACAAGTGAATATCATGTTTAGTTGGATCCATATTTTTCTAATCTTGACAGAAGTTCATCGACTCAAATCTTTCAAAAAGGTTATGCCGGTATGAACATTATTAAAACTCTTTGACATTCTTATGGTAGAACAATGCTATACTACTACTTATTTTTAGAGGTTATTTAATTTCAAATTTTAAAAGATAAAACAGTCTACATAGTAAAGTTATTAGAATAATTAGTGCTTTGATGAACACTCACGCAACAACCATAATTTTCTAAGATATGGTTGTCTACTAATACAATTTCAACTTGTGAACTGTTTTATTGAGTACTAAGATTTACACAAATGCAATTTTATAGTGTAATTAAATAAATACATGATTTGGTCATGGAATGTACGTTCAATATTCTGATATGCTCAGTAATACAAGCATGTATTGTTCTGTGTTTAGATAGATTTTTGATTTTTATGTTGTTCCACTTGAAATTTGGTTTGAAATATTCGTTACTAGATTTAAATATAAAAAGAGCGATTTACTGGATTATAACGGACCGGCTCAGATGGTTTACTAATTTTAAGAATACCCGAAAGATTAATGTGGTATGCATATCATTTATCTTAAAAATTTCCGGCTAAAAAAAAGTGATAACTATTTCTCAATTTCCAACAACGCTAACATAATTCAAAATTATTTTTATAAATTGATAGCTTAATCGATTAAGAACAAATACTTTATAGTATAGACTAGTAAAAGCTACTATATGTTTCTTCGTTTCTTAGAAGCTGGAAAATTCAAAGTGGGAAATTCTTTAAATGTTAAATCAGTGTGGCATTTAGGTGATATGGTGGAGGTACCACGTCTACAGAACCAATTAAATTATATTATTATGTAAGTTAGGACGAGAGACATACGTTAGAATATCAATTGGGCTCTCAAACTCTGAGTAAATTAAACAAATGCCCTCTAAGTTGATTACAAGCAAACCTGTTACCTACCACTGAATACTGATTTTTTAAAAATGTTTTCACATATATAGTTTAAACGCTATTCTTACAAACTGAACCAATATACCTATATATATATTTTATTTGATATGATTGAAAATAGGATAAAATATGCACAAAATCAACAAAATATTTATATAAAATTGATATTAAAAAATACTTTCTGGGTAAATATGTCACATACTAAAGCTTCCATTGAATATTGTGTATTGTATGAATTAGTAATTTAGCCATATTACAAATAATAATTAAGTACATACTAGTTCTCGACCCGCACAACCGTGCGGGTTTTCTTTTTATTTATAATTTATAAAAAAAAATATCAATAAATAATAATATATTTACTTATAAAATCGTGCAAAATACTAAAATAATAGATGTAAAAGTATCATTTTTAAACGCAACAAAAAAATATAAATTATCACTAACAAATATTTTATCTATAGTGTATCTAAATAAATTTTAAAATGTATTGTATGCAAATTCCAGAAATTAAACTCTATATTAAAGAAGATTATAATTTAATTATTTTAAATTATAATTTATGTATTAAACTCAAAAATATATTATTTATTAATAACAATCAATAAGAATATAAATTAAAATATATAAAACAAATTACTATATATTAATAATGAAGAATAAAAAACTTAAAGAACTAAATTATAGAGTTATATAATATATAACATCAAATGTAAATCATATATATATTTTTTTATAATACTATCAAAGTGTTATATTTATAAAAAGAAAAAAAATTGTGTGGGTTAATATCTAATATATAGTTTTTTATTTAGGATTTAGGAATATATAATGCTATCTAGATAAATTTTAAAATATCTTAAACAAAAACATTTGTATTTCGAATAAAAGATAAATATATGGGATAATATTATGGAAATACAATTTAAGAAGATGTCAAAAAGATTTTGCTGGATTTATTTCATTTGTATTTCAAATAGAAAAATAAAGATATTTAAAGATATTATCATTAAATTATGTAACATTTGATAATCTTCATAATCTTCTTAAGGAATAGTCCGTTTTTTAAAAAATCACACATGAATCTAGGTTGTGACTTCTGTTTTAATATATAAGATGTGGAAGCTTGTTCCCTTGCAAAACAAAGCTCTAACAACTTACAAATCCCAGTTTAACTTCTCATTGAAAGCATGGTTTGAAAACAGACGTACATATATATATGATGAATCATATATGGTAAATATACCTTTCGTTGCTTTTGCTGTTTGTATTTTCTCTATGTTTTTCAAGCTCGTTATAATGAACACGAAACAATAATTCAGAATATGAAGGACGTTTACAAATTAGATTTTGTTGTAATTTGTCAAAAGAGAAGGGCTAACAAACATCCGAATCTTTTTATATAATGAAGAAATGTATATACATGTTTATATTTCGTTGAGAGCATTTCGGTAACAAGATCTTTTGGAAGTAAATATGTCACAAACTAAAGTATTTAACCAACAATTTATAAACTAGACAAAAAAACAGTATCTTCAAATTTATTTATTATTTTCTCAGTACAAATCCAGAAATCTGAAGATACAAAATGAAATAGCCAAAAACAAAATAAAAAGGATTTTTGACTAAATCCAAAATATCTAAAAACTGAGGCTCTCGAACCAAACACCATCTCCTTCAATCTTTTCTTTCAATCCTGGGATGACATTAGCGATATAAACCAAATAAAAAAAAAACAATCAAACCACTAATTGTCATCTCCTTAACTTCCCTGTCAAACTAAACCATAAAAATTAGCAAAACCAAAAAAAAACAAAAGACTTAACCAAATCTCCAATTAGAGATTAAAAAAATTCTCTCTAACCAAAGCATTCAATCAAATCCGGTTTGCAAATTAAAACAGATTCCGGTTCGTCTTTTCAACATACAGACTTCTCAGCAATCCCAGGAAGCAACGGCCGAGATTCGCCTAAATACTCCACCTTCCTCCCCATCCCCACGTGTCTGCATCTCCTTATATCCTCGAACGACGCCGTATCCACAACCGAGTCCGACCGAGTCACGACCTTAACGATCTCCTCGAACAACGACTCCTCGCAAGGGATCGCTAACAAACCAGCATTGGAGAATCCGTACTCCTCCTCCGCCTCCGCGAGGAGCCGCCGGAAGATCGGATGGTTCAGATGCTTCGCGCGGACGACGTACCTCCGCCGATTCTCGCCGACGGAAACCGCCACGTGGCCAGGAGGTACGTCGGAAACAGTGTCGTTGTGAGCTTTCTTCCGCCATTGTTTCAGCATCTGACGGATTAGTACGACGCTTCCGATCTTATTGTTCTTCCCCATCTCTCTCTTGCGGCAGATTTGCTTCCTGGAAAATGTTGCGAAGGAGAGGGTAAAAGGTTAAAGGAAAAACATTTTAGGCGTTGCGTTTTGTAGTTTTTGTGTTAGTTTCAGCAAGCAGAGGAAAATTGAGGGAGAGCGTGTGATATTTAAAGGTCAGATTTTAGGTTTTTCTAATGGTCCTTAATCTTTGGTTAAATTACAAAATTATCTAGTCAAATTATGAAATTACTCTATATATGGCTTTGCATTTTTCTTTTTGGCTCTTTTCTGTTTCTTAATCTTATCCCTTTCTTGTAGAAAAAAATTAATAGCAATAGATTTTTTTAAATTACAATTAAGTGTTATTTTAAAAGAATCCGGGATATTAATTATTTTATAACATATTTGGATAAAAATAATTAATTTTTATTTGCAAAGTATCAACTATAATCTATATTATTAAAACTAAAGTACAAAACATAATTAATCTTATTTTGACAGATTTATTATATCTTTTCTTTCTTTATTTAATTTGTTTTAACTACTTATTAATTGTTTCTTTCCAAAAAAATTGACAAAATTTATTATAAAAGTATCAAACACAACTTACTTATTTTTAAATATTACTATACTTTTATATATCTTTTTCATTATTTCAAACTACTTCCTTAATTGTTTAGAATAATAATTCAACATAATTTATTTTATGTGTTAATCAAAAAAACTTTAGGTGTTTGAATGTAACTATTCCATTAGTACAAGAGAAAAAAATATTTTTAATTATATAATTAGTTAATATGGACATTCAAATATATACATATAAACAAGAGACAAAAAAATATTTTTAAAATTAAACTGTTGGAATATTATAAATTTTTAAAAAGATTCTGAGTCAAATTCTTTTGAGTTCATATAGGTTCGTAGAAACCTAAAAATATTTAAATAATTTATATCTATATGTATAGAATTGTTATTAAATAATTTATAAAACTATAAAAACTAATTCTGCACCGAGCAAGTGAATCAATCTCTAGTTTTTCATAAAACTTATAATTTAAATAGATCACATATTTAAAGGAGGAAATATATAAGGTAATCAAAACAAATATTTTGACTCATGCAAGTGTTATTGTTGTGTTTAATTTAATTCCTTAGAATTTGAGGAGCAGGCTGTCACGACCGTTAGGAAAGCCCATATCGCTTGATTTAGGGAATTAAAATTGCTTTCTGTAAAAGGTTTGCCAGGCCTTATATTCTTGATTTGGACACGTTTGCTGGACAAAATCACTTTTTATGGAAAGGAATTAGGAGCATACACTGTATAATGTATATGTATAAAAGGCCCTTTTTCTTTCCGTATGTTCTTTCTCTATTTTTGGATCAAAGGAGAATGAAAGAAAAAGAAAAGTTAATCACGATTTATGTCAGTGAATGGGTCATCATTACTCAGAACCACCAAATGAACATTAGTCTTGGAAATGGTAGAGAACATTTTATCAAACAAAGATAATTATCGGTTCGACCGACTTAACCACATACCAATCCGGTTTTCACAGTTTGCAATTTGAGCTATTTTGTAAGCCACAAAAATAAAAATTCTAGAAATAAGGGACCCACCACGAATAAAATAGAGATTCTCCACTGAAAATATCAAAGGGGGAAGAATTAAAGACGAAGGAAAAAGATACTACTCGAGGGTGAGGCGGTCACTTCACTGACGTGTGGTCTACATACTCAGTCATAAATCCTTCCCCAAATTGACCCTTAAAACAAAATTTAAACTAAAAAAACAAAAAACCTAAAAGAGGCATTTGTTTCGCTTTGCCCTCACAAACCTCCACCATCATCATCTTCCATGGCGGCCACTTCTACCATCTCATCTTCCCTCTCTCTCAATGCTAAACCCAACAAACCCTCCAAGCCTCTCCGTTTCCCCCGTACTCCTCTCCTTAAACCCTCCTCCTCCTTCTCTCCTCTCCCCGCTTCCCTCTCTTCCTCTTCTCCTTCTCTTCCTCTTACAGTTCTTTCCTCGAAAAACGCAAACCACCCTCTCGCCCTCGACGACAACGATGACTACGACGAGAAGCCTCGTGAGGAGTGCGGCGTCGTCGGAATCTACGGCGACTCAGAAGCCTCACGCCTCTGTTACCTAGCCCTCCACGCGCTCCAACACCGAGGCCAGGAAGGTGCAGGTATCGTAACCGTTAGTAAAGATAAAGTCCTTCAGACAATAACAGGTGTTGGTCTTGTCTCCGAGGTTTTCAACGAGTCCAAACTCGACCAGTTACCAGGCGACATAGCAATCGGCCACGTCAGATACTCAACCGCCGGCTCCTCGATGCTCAAAAACGTCCAGCCTTTCGTCGCGGGGTATCGATTCGGCTCCGTAGGTGTTGCACACAACGGGAACTTAGTTAACTACACGAAGCTAAGAGCTGAGTTAGAAGAGAACGGTTCGATTTTTAATACTAGCTCTGATACCGAGGTCGTGCTTCATTTGATTGCGATTTCAAAAGCTAGACCGTTTTTCATGAGGATTGTTGATGCTTGTGAGAAGCTACAAGGTGCTTACTCGATGGTGTTTGTTACTGAGGATAAGCTTGTGGCGGTTCGTGACCCGCACGGGTTTAGACCTTTGGTGATGGGTAGGAGAAGTAACGGAGCTGTTGTGTTTGCTTCGGAGACTTGTGCTCTTGATTTGATTGAGGCTACTTATGAGAGAGAGGTTCATCCTGGTGAGGTTTTGGTTGTGGATAAAGATGGTGTCAAGTCTCAGTGTTTGATGCCTCATCCTGAACCAAAGCAGTGTATTTTCGAACATATTTACTTCTCGTTACCGAACTCGATCGTGTTTGGTCGGTCTGTGTATGAGTCTAGGCATGTGTTTGGTGAGATTTTAGCTACGGAGTCACCTGTTGATTGCGATGTGGTGATCGCTGTGCCTGACTCTGGTGTTGTGGCTGCTCTGGGTTACGCTGCTAAATCCGGTGTAGCGTTTCAGCAAGGGTTGATTAGGTCTCATTACGTTGGAAGGACGTTTATTGAACCTTCTCAGAAGATCAGAGACTTTGGAGTGAAGCTGAAGCTGTCTCCTGTCCGTGGAGTTTTGGAAGGGAAAAGAGTTGTTGTTGTGGATGACTCAATCGTTAGAGGAACGACGTCGTCGAAGATTGTGCGTCTCTTGAGAGAAGCTGGTGCTAAAGAGGTTCACATGAGGATTGCGAGTCCTCCTATCATTGCATCGTGTTACTACGGTGTGGACACGCCTAGCTCAGAGGAGTTGATATCGAATAGGATGAGTGTTGATGAAGTCAGGGATTACATCGGAAGCGACTCTCTTGCCTTCTTGTCCATTGAAACGTTGAAGAAACATCTCGGGGAGGAGGATTCTAAAACCTTCTGCTATGCTTGCTTCACAGGGAACTATCCGGTGAAGCCTACGGAGGATAAGGTGAAGCGAGGAGGTGGAGACTTTATCGATGATGGTCTCGTTGGAGGTATTAACAACATTGAAGGAGGTTGGGTTCGATAGGTGACGAAGTGAAACAATTTTGGGTACTAATGGAGTTATATGATGACGAAAACTTTGTTGAATTTTGATCCATTTGACCTAAATGTTGCATACTTACTATTATTATTTTCAAGTCTAGACAAGAGGTTGTTCTTGTCTGAAGAATCTTTTGAAAGTGTTGTGTTCGTTTTGTCTCATTTGCAAACTTCTTAAGCAGAGTTTCTGAAAATCTAAAATCGTAATGGTTATTTCGGTTTCAACTCAAACTGATTTCGGTATACGTGGATTAAACTCTTCCACGTCACCGTTGGCTGTGTAAAATTACAGATATACCCTCAAATACATCACTACTGGATATTGTTCTTGTTTCGTTCCTACTTCGTTCTCCGACCGATAATAGAACAGAGGAGTTAGGAGATAAAGGATCCACTGTGGCGATGGCTAACGTGTTCCACGCCCACCAGTCTTGCTTAATCTTCGCTCTCCATCCGCCAATCTCTACCGTCCGTTTCAAGACGCAATCTTTCAACTTTCCGCAATCAACTGCTCCGGGTAGCCTCCGTACGAACCTCTCTGTGCGCCAGAGGAGCGTGAAGTGTATGGCGAACCCGAGAAGAGTGAAGATGGTGGCTAAACAGATAATGAGGGAGCTCTCCGACATGCTTCTCACAGACACTGTATTGCAACACGCCGTGTTGCCTGAAGCTGCACTTGGAGCCGACCGCTACCTCTCTTCTCTCACCACCATCAGTGATGTCGAAGTCTCCAATGATTTGCAGGTAAGAAACTTTACTGTATATGTAATTCATGTGGATGATGTAGAAGTTGGGGCCTTTTCATTATACAAAACCCTTTCTCTGCTTGAATTGAATTTTGATTATACTTATTATTACTTAGAGAGACGTTAAAAGCTGAAAAATGTTTTCTTTGGAGATGAAATGGTTTGTTTGGTGGGTTGTAGATTGTGAAAGTATATGTATCGGTGTTTGGAGATGATAGAGGGAAAGACGTTGCAATAGCGGGGTTGAAATCGAAAGCTAAGTACGTTAGGAGTGAGCTTGGGAAGCGAATGAAGTTGAGATTGACGCCTGAGGTTAGATTCATTGAGGATGAATCCATGGAAAGAGGAAGCAGGGTAAGCCTTTCTATTCTATCTTTCACTACAAACTAACTAATTATATCTCTGCATTTTTTAAGAAAAATTATGCGTACGGTTAGTAAATGAATCTTTCACTGAAACGAACTATGTTACCTGCGTTTTATGAGATTAATACATAATCTATAGCTTGATCTCTTTTATAGAACATATAGCATTACATAGTCTTCACCTAGTTGTTTATTCTTTGGATGTCTTCAATGAAAAACCAGAGCCGGATATTGCTAGTTGTTGCTATTCAGTCAAGCAACTGTCTCATTTTGTCTGATCTTCATTTGTATAACCATCACAAGAAACTGAAGTTTTGTTGATTGTTTCAGGTAATCGCGATACTAGACAAAATAAAAGCTGAGAAAGGAAGCGAAGGAGAGCCAGAGATATCTGATTCACCAGAGGATGATCAAGATTGGGGAGTAGATGACCCCGACGAAGACATCATCTATGTAAAGTAAAAGGTCTGAAACAGTTTTAGCAAACCGAGCCCGAGTGAGTTTACTAAGAGTTTCCCCTCGGTGAGTCATCATCTTTTCAACTCATCTAGGATAAGATCATTCACATTCATGCACCAAGAACCTTCTAATCATTTGACTCTGTAGATAACATCCTTTTTCATGATTTGCCTGAAGTTTAGAGAAGAGTATAAGGAAGAAGTTGATGACCCGGATTGAGAACTAGAGAAGATGAATACGGATATATATAAACTCACATGGCTCCTTCCTCAGTGTGGGATCCTGAAAGCTTCTCCAATGAAATGTTTTCTTTTGCATTTTTGGATGAATCAGTGTAACAATGTCTTTGTTGTTTTGCTAGTAGAAGAAGTAAACCGATTTGAAATTTGTGTTCCTCCATCAAATTGAAAATGCAAAACTAAAACAATTGTTTAGCTTTGATTAAAGGCTGACATATTAGAAAGTGGGCTTTAAGTGAATAACAAGTAGGCCCAAAAGGACGTGGTAGTCTCTCTGATGTTAAAAAAAAAAAGAACAAAGCTACGTTGCTCCCTTCCACTCATCTGAATAAAAATAAAATAAAAGCAGCAGCGATATCCACGCTGCACCATCTCTCTCTCGCCAGATTTCAATCATCGACTCGCTCACCAGATTCTCAGATCCAAATCTTCAACATGTCTACCTTCAGCGGCGATGAAACTGCTCCTTTCTTCGGCTTCCTCGGCGCTGCTGCCGCACTCGTCTTCTCCTGTAATTCCCCTTTCTTCTTCTCTTCGCATCATTTCGTTTTTTTTTCCAAATTTGTAGTCCCAATCCGCTTGATCTGCATCCTTGTTCGTTATCTTCTTCCTGGTTTCTTGGAATAAACGTCTGTGATTTGTATAATTGCTTGAGAATCGCCTCGTAAACTACGCTGATCGCTTATATAGGATTCATTGACAAATAAGTTTTTTAGGTTCGATCAAATGAATCTGATTGATCTATGCTTTTCAACCACCATTGTATATATGATATGAGATTCAATTCGATTTCAATGCGATTTTAATTTCCGTTGTATGATTTATTGAGCATACGAAGCTATAATTCGAGTGATCTTGTTTAATCTTAATCATCTTATAAGGATTGTTTTGAATGTGTTGGGACTTTTTAATTGGATTAGGTATGGGAGCAGCTTATGGAACGGCAAAGAGTGGGGTTGGTGTGGCGTCCATGGGAGTCATGAGGCCAGAGTTGGTGATGAAGTCCATTGTCCCCGTTGTTATGGCTGGTGTCTTGGGTATTTACGGTTTGATTATTGCTGTTATCATCAGTACCGGTATTAACCCCAAGGCTAAGTCTTACTACCTCTTTGATGGTTATGCTCACCTCTCCTCTGGTCTCGCTTGTGGTCTTGCTGGTCTTTCCGCTGGTATGGCCATTGGTATCGTCGGTGACGCCGGTGTCAGGTTTGTCAACTTCTAATATACTTCACAAATGAATGTATATGTAACGTTGGTGATTGACTTGTCCATTTTGGAAATTTGTTTTCTCCAGGGCAAATGCTCAGCAGCCTAAGCTCTTTGTTGGGATGATTCTTATCCTTATTTTCGCTGAAGCGCTTGCTCTTTACGGGCTTATTGTTGGAATCATCCTCTCCTCTAGAGCTGGCCAGTCTAGAGCAGAATGAGAATGTGACCACCATCGTTCTGAGAATGAGAGAATGTGTACTTCCTTTTCGTTCTGTGTGCGTTTTGTTCTTTTGTTCTTTAGTATTTATCATCGGGAACCAACAGATTTGCTGGATTCTTGGAACTTTGTTTCGGAAGCAAACCGACCTATCTTCATCCCCTATTCTCTCTTTCGTTGGTTTGCTTTCGGGTTGTAGGGGTTCTCTTATTGTGACTGTAATAAAGAGCTCTGAGGAGCTTGCTATGTCTCTGTATTCTTGTATTGTTCTGAGGAAGTTTAAATACATTTATTTGTTTTGATAAAAAAAGAAAAATATATTTATTTGTAAAAGAAGTTTGCTTTCGCAAATCCATCTCGAGTTCCCATTGTGTGTTTTTTCATACATTCAAACGGTGAAAGAAGTTAATCACCAGCTTAGCACATATTCTTATGTAAGAGTAATTGTGTGTTACACTCCTTTTCTTTTAACTACGACTAGATGATAACCCGCGCCATGCGCGGAGTGAGCTTTTAAAAATATGTTGTATTTAAATATATATTTTGCTATCATAATTTTTTTACATTTGATTAGAGATAGGCATTTGGAAACCATTTGGTTCGGTTAGATTTTGTTTGGTTTAGATCTTTGCGGTTTGGTTCGAATTTTTGCAGGTTCAGATTGGGTTTAGTTTCGGATAATCCATTTATTTTTTTTTATAAAAAAGATTGAAATTCATATATACTTTAAAATTTTCAAAATCTAAAAGTAAAAAATAATATATAACATATAAATTTGAAAATGAATGCCAAAATACTTAAACTTAACATAAAATTGCTTTATCATAAATATTTGGAAAAATAAATAAATAAATATTTTAAATATTTTTGGTATTTGGAGTATCGTTTAGATATTTTTTAAATATGCATTTAACTGTTTTATATATTTCTAAGTATTTTGGAACATTTTAAAAAATATATTAATATATTTAAGTATATAAATCTGGTTCGAGCACTTGGATACCTGAAATATTTCGATTCAGTTTTTGGTAATCTAAATACCAAAATTTTGAATCCGTTTGGATATCTAACCAATTTTGGTTAAAAATTT